CGTGTGCGCATGCAGGTGGGGCGAGGTGTTGTGAGGGGTCTGCGTGACTGAGGATTTTGGCAGATGCGCGCATGACTGAATTGTTCCACTCGGCTGGACAGTGTGGGCAGGCAAGGCGTGAGTGAAGTCTATATGTCAGGACAGGTTCGATCACCTTAGCGTTATGGATTCACAAGTGGCCGATCGGATCAATGCTTAATGAGGAAGTGCGGTCGCAATGAGTACGACTTGAAACTGGGTCCACATTACTGGTGGAGGGAGCAGTGATGATGATGCTTATGCTGTTGCTAACACTAATGACGATGATATGGGGTTCGTTGTAGTTAACACCCGGTGCTGGTTATTGCCCAACCACTGTCTTCGCCGATCCATTTACCAGTCCGAAGTTGGGGCAATCGCAGGCGGAGAGTTCTACAATCCGCCTCTGTCGTTGTATTTAGTGTTCAGTCGTCCATGAACAAGAAGTCGTCGACATCGACTTTGGAAACTCTCGTAGATGCCTTCGTGTTTCAGGTGCGAATTAGTTGTCTGTCAATTCTATAGACCTCAATCAGCATGGAGGTTAACTTGAAGCTGAAGGTGGGGGTTAATCAATAACCCTGTCACTGCGAGTGCTTCGATGGCCTTCTTGAAGTTTATCATCTCACTGCTGCCGGCATGTTCGAGTTAGCCCATCGTTTAGTATCTCTCTCAGCGATTGGTTTCTAACTCGGGAAAATGCAGCCTTATCGACACCAGTCCTGTCGTTTTCATTAGGTAGACTGTCCTTCTCGGAGATCATACGTCGGATTTCTTCTTCGTTGTTGTTGTTGTTGTTGTTGTGAAACTAGTACTGAAACTGTCGATTTGCGAGAATGAAAACTTCCAGAGCGGTGGCCTGAATGGTACTCTGCGGTCCCTGTCACAGAGTTCCAAAGTAAGCAGTTTCTTCCGGGAATTCCATCTGCCTCAATTGAGGATACAGTCGGTTAATGAAATCCATTCTGGTTGCCTTACATAGTGTTCGCTTACCCTGCGGACGCATGCGGAATGACAAGACGACTGTCCATTCAGCAGTCGACACCTCAAATCGCCTTGACCATCGGCATTTCACGATGACCACGCCTCCGAACGGGGACGTGACACAACAGGCGCCATCAACGAGAGCGAGCATGCATCCATGCAATGTTCTCCGCATTGGCAGACGAAGTGTGTCGGTCAGGGGAAGATTGTGCTTTGTGCAGGCAAGCAGGAGAAGCTCATTGCCGTTGCAGCTACCGCTTCCGTTGCAAACCAGCATTCCCACCCGCGCAGCGTCGTGTGTGTGCCGACGCGGACATTGAAGTTACCAAGGGCAATCATTTTGCTCACCTTCAGCGCAGTCACTCGGAGGACGTGCATGTCTTCGTAGAACTTGTTCTTCACATTATCGGAGGTGGCCATGCGAGGGTGGTGGGCGTCGGCAACAACGCCGGTGGTGGATTTGTTTCCGCACAGAGGCAGGCACAGAGTTGTGAGACGGTCACTGACATCCTGAGGCACGCAAGGCAGTCGTTTCATGACGTAATTCTAACGGTGAAAGCGGTGCCGGCGTCTCGTCGTTCAGCCTTGGGACGTCTGCTCTAGAAAAGGTGTATCCAAGATCCAGAGCCTCCAGTTGTCCCTGTTCGAAGAATCAGACCCCACTTTCAGTTCTGATGGCTACTTTTAAGGAGGTCAATTTCCGAACGACTAGGATTTTCCACTTTCCGGACAGTCTTTTCATTGGGTTGCCTAAAAGAAAACGAAAATTTTAGACTGCCAAAGTGAGCAGTGCCATTCCGGCATCGATTGGGGTGGTTGGTGTTCTATTTTTTGGTTCGACCAGAGGTCACGGTCAGCTTGCCGAGGGCGTTTTTTAATAGCAAATACGTAGGTAACCTTTTATAGTCCATTTCGCGGGGGAGGGGGTAAGCAGGTAACAGACAGGTTGCCGAATCCCGCTATGGCGCATGACTTCTATTTAGGGTAAAAACTGCCCACATTAGACTGGACCGCCTGCGGAATCGTTGTTGCTCGTTCCGTAGGAGTGTCCTCCAAAAAGAGTTGAAGTACACGACTGCTAAGTTTAATTGCAATGTAGTTGGGCACAGTTTGCCTCCCTGTCAGGACCTACTAACTGCTAACTGTTGCCCACTGGACTGTTTTACACGAAACAGATGATTTCGTACAATCAAAAAGTCACCAGCGGAGGAACCGTGAGGCTATTGAGCCTTCAGGACCTCAAGGTCAACCACGGATGAAAATCCGCAAAAATAGCTACACAACAACCTTAAGACGTGTTGAAATACTTACTCCGGTTTCTGTTTACTGCATAACCTTTATTCCTTAAACTGCGTGTGGTCATTCACATGTAATAATCATGTTCAATTTTGTTTGATCTAACTCTTGCACATTACTTAATGTCCGCTATAAGCAATATGCTTTGCTGTGATCTGGTTGTTAGCAACTGCCGTAGCAGTAATGCAACAAGGCGTTTTTTAATTTAAAAGAGTTAGGACGAGTGTCGTCTCGCAGTTCAAAGGAGAACTAGAAAGATTTTGGCGGCGTCTGTCTCTTACCCTCCTGTTATCATAATAACTTGTAGTAATTGTTTACTTCTTAATATAGTGCTACTTTTAAGCATTGTCTATAGTTTATTTTGCTTCTGGCAACCAAGTATGCCTAATTTAAAATAACACAATACCCTCCACACCTGTCCGATATTTTATGACGTAATACATAATGCAAATGTTTGTTTTGAGCGATTTCGACTGAAGTGTGGTGGGCCCATAGCTCAAGTAGGGACTCACCTGGTTTAGGTGTTTAGTTACCAACCGACCCTTGTTCAAATGATAGGATCCAGGTTTGGGGTCTGGAATTTATTGACAAACAACAGAGATAAAACAAAAAACCATTTAGTTTCCCCTTAAACTTGTCGGCGACCAGTTTAAAACATGGATCTTAGCTCGTGCCGCGTTGCCTTTATGCGTAAAGTCTTCTGGAACATCCGTCGCAGGGCTAAATACAGTGGATGTGCTAACTCATGAAATGTCAACCAAAGTTTCGAAATGCGTTCTTGTTTCGAAAAGATAAATTAAGTAGTGTTCTAAAACTAATCATGATGCAGCATAAGTCTATAATGATCCGGTTACCTCACGGTGTCGGCTTTCGAAAGAACTTATTTTCGGCTGCATGCAAAATCTATTCTCTGCAAAAATGACTACTTAATTAGCATGCAATTTTCTCATTGATTTTCGATGCCCTTGAAAATTCAATTATATTTCATGGAAAACATGCACAAAAATATTCATTCTTTTCCTTATTCGGTAGAAAATCACGTCTTCTTCCAAGTTCATACTCAAAAGAAGAGTATAATTCGATTTTAAAAAAACTTTTCTAATTCCCGAATAATTTTGAACCCGACCTGCTGTTACACTTGAATTCAGGGTTTCAAAACTACAAGTTGTATATTTTCCGTGTACGGAAGACCATGCATGTCTCTACGGTGTTAAGAGGAAACCATATGAGGTTCATAAAATTAAGCAGTGGATTTGATCAGTATTGTTAACTTTCCAAGCCACATTCGTAAATGCAGATATATGACTTTTCATGGACGGCCATTTAACGGTATTAAAAGATCTCACAATTAGAAACTTTTTTAAAACCGAATTATACTCTTTCTTTGAGTATGAAATTGGAAGAAGACGTAATTTTCTGCCGAATAAGTAAAAGAATAAATTCTTTAATGCAAGTTTTCCATGAAATATAATTGAATTTTCAAGGGCCTCGAAAATTAATGAGACAATTGCATGCTAATTAAGTAGTCATTTTTGCAGAGAACAGATTTTGCATGCAGCCGAAAATAAGTTCTTTCGAAAGCCGACACCGTGAGGTAACCGGATCATTATAGACTTATGCTGCATCATGATTAGTTTTAGAACACTACTTAATTTATCTTTTCGAAACGAGAACGCATTTCGAAACTTTGGTTGACATTTCATGAGTTAGCACATCTACTGTATGTCGATTCGGACGGAGTGAATTCGCTGTGCGGCTGCTGCTTGGGCTCGAGAGAGAGCCTGTAAGGCACAATGGGACGAGTGATTTTCGTAAGAACAATCGGTGAGCGCCCCCTACCATTGTTAACTGACTTTTTGATGTATTCAAAAGGCGACTTTCCATAAAGTTTCAACTTGGTATGGCGTCAGCTGGGATGATACGAAATATTCACTCAACATCTAGTTGCCTCCGCATGGGTTGTCGGTGCTTTAAAACTGAAAATCGACTTCTTACTTTATAACTATTCCATATTTCTGAAAGGATGGAGAGTGAACGGTATGTCCTCTAAACATGACAGGCCCAGGTCACTGGAAGCCAAAATCCTTAATTAACATCGGAAAATAATAAATATGAGAAGATATAGAAAGGGCAACCCCCAAGCAAATTTCTCAAGAGCTTAAGAGCACAAGGTCCTCTGCTTCAGACCGATCAGTCTGTACATGCTCCTGGGTAAAACGCTTAAATGGCATACAAAAATCAGCCGCAAGTGGGCATTGGTAGATGGATATCTGATTTACAAATGGAGGCGAATATGCAACACTCAAGTTCTTGCTGCAAAAAAGAAGTATGCGCGATCACGGTAACAGTAAGTGTAGTAGACAGGGTTTGTGGACTCGTACAGGAGTCCAGGATCAGAGACAATGAGAGTGTAACTACGTGTAGACAGTCTTACAGTCAGGTCCTATGTCCACGCGGTCAAGTGACGCGGCCCCACAGTTCGGCCGTCGTGCCTGACGATGTCCACTGTGTGCTCCACGGCTAGGTGAGGCAGGCACGGTGACCTGCGCGTGAACTGGTCTGCCGCACCCTCCCATCCTCCCAACCTCGCCTTTAGTATCCGCCGAAGACAGCTGACGTGGAAGTGGTTGAGCTTCCATGCCTGCCTCCTGTAGACAATCCAGGTCTCAGCTCTATTCAGGAGCGTAGGCAGGATGACTGCTTTATACATCTTGAGCTTGGTGCTGAGGTGGAGACGACGACGATTCCAGATGGGCGACGTTCACGTTGATCAGAGGTACATTGTAGGCAGCGTTGGGTGGCGGCTGGTGCATAACCACCGTTTTCTCCGTGTTGATGAAGAGGTCCATGCTCCTTTGAATATTCCTTTCTGTGGTTGCGTTGGGAGCGCAATCGTCAGCGGAAAGAATTTCATGGACGGTAGTTGTGGATACACGCGACTGCAAGTGCATCCGCGGCTGATTGAGGAGGTAGCCGTCCGTCCTGTAGGCGACGTGAATCTCGGAGCATTCATCACGATAGGCGTCCATTTTCACGGCAGACAGCGTGAGACTGAAGAGGGTAGACGCGAGGACGCAACCCTGTTTCACTCCGTTGATCACTGTGAATGCCTTTGAGACAACTCATCGTCAAGTCATCGTGGACCTGACGCCCCATCTGAGTGAATCGTTCGGGACAGCTGAATTTCTGCATGATTTTCCATATTCCTTTGCGATTCACCATGTCGAAGGCTTTCGCCAGATCCTCGAAGGTAGAGTAGAGCTGGGTCCGCATCTCCGGGCACTCCTCCTGCATTTGGTGGGCAGCGAAAACTATGTAGATGGTGCCGTGATGGCGGCGGAAATCGCATTGGCTTTCCGGCAGGAGACCCTGTTCCAGATGGGTGTTTAGACGGCTGAGAAGGATTGGGGCAAAGATCTTTCCAATGATGTTGAACAAGGAGATACCTCCGTGGTTGTTGCAGATTTGACGGTCTTCTTTCCGCTTGTAGAGATAAATGAATGAGGCCTTCTTGAAATTCTGGGGGTATTGCCCTTGGCGTCTCCTGGAAGAGCGCTGTCAGGTGATCCATAAGTATGGGGCTGCTGTGCTTGTAAATCTCAGCAGGGATCGCGTCCGATCTGGACGCTTCCCTGCTGGAGAGCTGCTGTACGGCGCTGATGATTTTACTTAGAGAGGGCAGGCAATCGAGGTCGGGGTAGGTCGATGGCGGCGTCGGCGTTGGTGGAGGGGCGGTTAAGGATGCATTCAAAGTGCTCAGTTCAGCGCTTCAGAATTTTCGCCCTCTCAGTGAGTGGGGTGGTTCTGTCGGCATTGATAAGAGGAGCGGTGTCTTTGGTTGTGGGAGTGTAGACAGCCTTGATCGCGGCGAAGAAGTTCTTTCATTCGTTTTGGTCCGCGTGCCCTTGGATCTTCCCGGCCTTGCGAGTTGTCCAGGTGTCCCGCATCCCCCACAGCCGCTGTCGCACAAGGCGGCGACTACGATAGAAGGCCGCTTTGTTTTCGTCGGAAAGGCGATTGACGTAGGCTTTGTGCAGTCGTTTCTTCTCGGCGATCAGGTTGATGATGATGGCGTCGTCTTCGTCGAATCCGTCATGGTACTGACGACGTGCACGGTCGAGGGCAGCCAGTTGGCACCGTCGGTTCTCCACGGAGGCGTTTGCGTCGACGGCCAAGGGGGTTGCGACGGCGATCGGAAGGTTGGCTAGTGGCTGAGCTAGCTTATTGCTAAATGAAGATGGTGAGCAGGCAAAGACAACAGTACCGTATTCAACTTACATGGTGGTAACTTACCTTGAAGTCTCCTGCGTGGCTGTGGACCGATCCGCATCCTGGAGATGATGAGGCGATGGTCGTTCCACCCGTCAGCATGCGCGATCGCCTTTGCCACCAGCACGTCCCGCTCGTATCGCTCCCGGACGAGGACATAGTCCAGCAGGTGCCAGTGTCCCGACCAATGGTGCACACTGGTCGCCCTCTCCCGCGTCAGAAGGCGGAAGGCGCTGTTTTGCGCAGGTTCGCAGGATAAGTAGGCCACTGCCATTGAAGCCACCGAGACCATGAGGGCCCAACAATCCTATCCAGACAATGGGGTTTGTGTCGACGCGGGCGTTGAAGTCACCAAGGACAACCAACTTATCCGCCTTCGGCACAGGCGCCAGGAGGGTATGCAGATCCTTGTAGAATTTGTTCCTTGCCGCGCCAGAGTTGGTCATCGGGGGGAGGGAGTAGACGCTGAAGATGGTGGCCAATTTGCTTCCCCGAAGAGGCAGGCGGAAGCTCATCAGATGATCGTTGGTACCCTGCGGTAGACAGGACAGTCGTCCTATGATGTCATTCCGGATGGCAAAGGCGACGCCAACGTCCCGTCGCTCTGCCTTGGGGCAACCGCTCCAGAAGAAGGTGTAGCCGGCACCCACCTCCTTCACTCGGAGAAGCAGGTATCGCTGAATGCAACGATATCCGTCTTCTAGCGCGCCAGCTCCGGGGCGACCGGCACCGTCCTTAGCTCAGCTCCGTTGCCTCTGGGACTATATAAAAGGGAACGGACACTCCAGGTGGCCAGAGTGAGCGGATTCACCCTGCCAGTCTGGTGAGTGGAGTGGGGCGGCGAGGAGGAGGAGGAAATGTGAGAGAGAATATTGGTAAAATATCATTGTCGACAAAGACAAGAGAGACTGGAATGGCCAATTCTGGTTTATTAGCCGTCGTCTACCAGTCATGCCCCAAGGCACAACGGGACGAGTGGGTCCCGTAACGCGATCGGTGAGCGCCCTCTACCAGAGAGAGTACTTTGTCTTGTGTTTTGGTTTAGACCGCATATTAAGCGGCCTGCGAGCCACGGTCTGAGCGCAACTGTAATGAGCTCAGAATTTGTTTAGGACATCTTTTATAACTCCCTCCCCTTCGTGGGAGTAAGCAGTTCTCTCCCTCTATAGGGCTGTTTATTTGCTTCAGTCGGCTGTCGCTCTCCACTATGGGTTGTTAGGTTTAGTGGAAGAACGAGCCATTGGCCTGTGCCGCCTACGTGACTACGTGTCGCCCTCGCTGTAGGACTGGTCGGCCGCGGGGTAAAGAGTAGATTAGAGAGTAGAGAGGGAGGAGAAAGGGAGGTAGGAGGGGGGAGAGGGGAAGAGTGGAGGAGAAGGGCGGAGAGAGGGGAGTGTAAAAGAGAGGAGGAGAAGGAGGGGGAGGAGGAGGAGAAGAAGAAGAAGAAGAAGAAGAAGAAGAAGAAGAAGAAGGAGGAGGAGTGAGGGGAAGGCCAGGAAAGGAGAGAGGGGAACGGGGGAGAGGAGCAAAGTTGCCGTGTGTGGGGATGCACCTACAAATACCCTCACCTGTTTTAGCCCTGCGGCTGAGGCGATTACCGGGGTGTGGACGCCAGCCTGTCTGATTTTGAGGAGCCACATGTGAGAATTGGGTGCCAGTTACTGGAAGCTGGGCGTAGTCAACAACTGCAAGCAAGTGAGCGACCTACTACGACCATTGCATGGACCCACGGCTGGACACCCCTACACCCCTCACTGTCACTCTCACACTGTCATCACACCGTGGGACCACTATGGATTTGGCGGCGTGGTCCCAGCCCAGTCATGGACACCTTTCCGGCTCCCTTATCGTTTGACTAATGAACTGTTCAATTGTTACACTCATGATGGGCCCCGATGATGCACGAGTCCGAATGCTCAGGCTAATGCACCTACTGTTCCAGTGATCACGCACGCATCTTCTTTATTTAACTTGCCAGTTTATACTCATTCAGTAGTAAACTATAAGGGGAACCGGAGTTAAGTGTTGATAGGAGCCGCAGTGTGCATTCCCAGGCTCCGCGGCCACATATGGACTGTGACGTTATGGTCACCCTCTCCCCCGTTTCGACATTGGGACGTCGATGGGAGGTGGTCTTGGCAACTGCCCGTCGTCGAGATCCCGTCATACATCCAATTTCAACTAGGCCGAAATTCTCACGAGAGGTGATAATCGCATAGGCTGCGTGACCCCCGTCTACTAACAAGTCCAATGGCCGCCCAACCCCATATTCGGTGCTGAGACTAGGTTTGGCCAAAGTAATTAGCCACCCGGGGAGCAGGCAGGTCGGTGAGCTAGGTGACCGAGTCATCATCACACCAGCACCCAATAGGTTGATGAAATGTTAACAATTAACGATTTGCATGCCGGATATTAAACTATTAGCGCATCAGATGGCAACCATCCTAGATGGCGGAATGAGCCATTTATTATCTTAGACATGCAATAGCATAGCAACTGCATCCTATAAATACTGCAACGCCCTGCGTATGAACTACTCGTACTCGTTACTGTCTCTGTTGAATGACCCCAACGTGAATTCGTAACCTCAGACGAATAAAATTCTCGTTCCAGCGATCGCATCTACATCTTCTCAACTAACATTCTCACTGCCGTAATTATCACCTATTTTTTCAGTTTTCTGTGACTCTGTCTTGCCACCCTCGTCCACTAATAGTCAACTTTACATTCTCCATTCTTGAATGTGAACACATGCCGAAACGATACACAGTAATCGGTCCATCCGCCCCCCTACCTCCTCATGTCCTTTATGCGTGCTCCTGTCACCTACCATCGTCTTCCAAATACCCGGTTTGACAAGGACCACGTCGGACACAGTGGACAAGTGCTAGCTTTGCCTGGTGGCAGGGAGTGCTTAGAGTGATCTGTAACAATATTATCGCGTAGGTTGAGCAAACCCTCGGTAAAGCTTTTAATTACAGTGGACCGTGGTCGCCACTGCATCCGGTGATGGGAGGTTGTTTATCTTGGACAATAAACATGCTTTATAAGGAACAGCCGAAAGATAAAGACGACTGGAATGTCTGTGGTTGACTTGTTCTCCATCATCGGCAAATAATCTCCCAAATTCGGGTCGGGATGGCCTGAAAATGCATCTACACAACAGTAGTCCTTCAGACTCAAGCGAACCTACATTCTGACTGTAGATTCCAAAACAGTTTCCCAGTGTTTCCTGTTATCCTTGACTCTTTTGGGTTAAATGAGATGGGATTTAACAAGAGAAGTGGAATTTGCTTGATTTCACTGATGGGGACGTCGTAGGAACGAGCGTTTTCATAAGGTGACATGCCATGAGGCCGGTCGGTGCCTAATAAATTTAAATAGAACTAACAGGCGTGATCATAAACATACCATTTTCTCACGAATGGAAGAGAATATGCGCATCCCAGGTTCTTGTTTTAAAGAAGGCGAAGGCACGATCACTGGGACAGTAAGTTTATTTGCCTGAGCTTTCGAACTCGAACTAGAGTTCATCCAGTGATCGTGCCTTCGCCTTCTTTAAATACCATTTTCTCTTTGTAGAGAGAACTTTTCTTCCGTTAAATTAATTTACACTTTTCCTTCGTTTTGGATTACGCCGAGTTTCAGATTGACTTCGAAATATTGCTGAATATTTCATGATTTTCAGTGTTTTCACGCGATCGTCCATAAAGACAGATTCTGAATTACCTGTCTGTTAAGAACTTTAAAATAAGATTATTCTGGAAGGCATTTGCCAAATTGATGAGTGTACGGGCGCTCCTTTTCACGAAGATGGTCGTTTGGGTCACATGTGAAGACTCATTCAGACATCAAACTTCATTTTCGAGAAAAATGGCTGTCCACAACGAAAGTCAACAACGAATATGCCTTTGACCAGTAAGAAAACTTTCCTTAGTAAATTACCTCTTTAGGAAGTGCTTTATTACTGCATTCGGTGGTGGTAAATTAAGTGACATCAGGTAGAATTTTCCAAACGACAAAAGGATTTCAGCCCACTTAAACGAAGGAATCTCCATTTGCGTTATTACTGCATTTTAGGGCACCAAGTCGCACAGATCTGCTACTTTGACATTTAGGAAGTGATAAAACCCCTGGTCTTCTTAAAATAACCTTTGTGTTAGCAGGTTGATTCCCACGGTTAACATCGGACATAAAATAAATTTTCAAGTTCGGCTAAATCTGTTTATTGGTGCTCTCACGGGCAAATTACTATCCTTTCAATGGAAAAGTCGCTTAGATGCGTAACGGAGTCTAGGACATGTATTAGCATAGGAAATTGTACAAATATATTCCAACGTCAATTTTCGCTAAAATTTACTGATATTTTATTTGATATAATTACATAAACACAATTTATGCACAAGAAAAGGATATTTTATTGAAGGATGTGGATAAGCGAACAAAAGGCGCAAGGTTAAAGACGTCCAGAAAGTTTCGCACCAGTTTCCGTTATCAGATTTCATGAGATAGGTCACGTATTGTATGTGCCAAATTAAACTGTCCAATGGTTCACGCAGACCGCGAAATTCGGAATTTGTCGGCCTGTCACAGAGTGAAGCTTATCTGGTTGTGAACCCTAACTACAGTTGGCATTCCGTTTACTGCACTTTCTCTGACTATGAACCGATTGATTTGCACACGGCCTTTAATTGAAGAAGTATATTTGGTTAAGAACGGCTGAAAACGAAATGACGATTTTGGCCTCCGCAAGTCTTATTGCATCGACGAACAAGCGAGACCGGGCATATCCGCACGTTTCAGCCCGTATTTGAGGCCCGGTGCCGCATAGCTGAGCTGCGGGCCGGAGCTCACTTTAAGGCGGTCGAAAGGGGTCAAAAATGATCGATCCACCACCGTCAACCGCCCATAGCCCAACTCCCCAAACCGGCAGTACTGGCATTAGGACTCGGGTGTAGTGGGTACCAAAATCCAACGCTTTTCCACTGAACCATGAACCTGGACTCGGTCGGTCCTCAGGCACCTTGGAGGACAAGATGTGGAACACAAGCCCAAGATCCATGTTGGCTTCGAATTTCTGCCAAGATTTCTTTCCTAGTGGAGTGGTGCTCGATCTGCAGCATGTCAAATTGCCACACAAGCCCTTAAGATGCAGAATATATGTACCTGCTTTCGACAGCCGCGAGTGACGTAGCTACCTCTTCCAGTCGTCCTCTCCTTTCTCGCCAGTATTCACAGTTGTTGAGTTGTCCTTGGTTGTAGATTTCGTTGTGGCATTTGAGTCGGAGTCAGCGCCCAACTACGAAATAGCTGAGCTTTTGAGAGAAATTTGAAGGCCAATTTTTATGGACAACTAGCAGAAGTTCTGATTGGTTTATCTCCGACCAAACGTAAAAATTTCAGGCTTGTCAAAAAAAGCTTTCTCGAATAAGCCCAAGACCAATTCCAATTGAATTATACAAGTCTTACATGAGAGCTTGTAATGCGACTCTGGAAGTCATACTGCTAATGACGCTGGACTTTCTTTTGATCACCAGATTATAAAGTAAACATGCATTTTGGAGGGAGAAGGCGCGATCGCTGGCTGATGGGGCACGGGAATATGGACGTCCCGTATGAAAGGTGGCCTTGCGTTAAATTCCAGAAGGATTAGGGTTACGGTTAAAGTTAAGGCCGGGAGTAGGTGTCGTCCATAGTATTTGGCACAAGACCATCTGTGGTACGGGGGGATCGCTAGTTCCGATTCCAACCCGGGAGTCTTATTCGCCTGGTGTTTCGGCTTTACACTGGAGTCCATCAACATTGTTTTGGCTTGAATTAGGTGTTAGCTATAAGTAGGTCTAGATATCCACAAATTAACGCGCAGCACTTTTGTAAGATGCGTATCAGAGAACGAGAATTATGGAGAACAAAATGTTGGGTTGTTAACATCAATGCGCAAAGTTCGCTTGGACTAGCACAGAGTGCTATAGTCAGGCCTACGAATAGAAGTCCAGGAACGCGCTATTGGCCTTTTTTGCTAAGTACATTGGAAATGCGTTAAGGTCAAAGTTCGAAAAGCCGCTCGAGTTTCCTGACTGTGAGTGTGAACCTCGCCACATTGGCCACATTGAATCACACACCGATGACTTCTGACAGCGCCTGTATCAGTTCGCCGTCACTAATCCTTTGGGGTCTTCGAAACAAAACGTGGTTTCTACGGGAGTCACTTTAAAAAAAGAGGGACCGTGAGTGTTACAGTGTATTATCTGGATAAACTGTTTCTTCTAAAGGATATGCGCTTTTAATACATTTCATTCTACTCTACAGACTGTGCGGAAAACGACATCTCGCCCTCTACTGACCGCATAGCTATCAAGGTACGCCGTTTTAATTCCTCCATATGGAAAAAACCTGTTATGAACTACTTGGGTTTTCCGTATTCATGCTGGAATCAGTAGTCGAACTTCGTTTGCTCTGTTAAGACTTATATCAACCAGGCTTTGTCTCTTTTCCAGATTCCCTACCGTGGCTGGAGCCATGAAAAAGAGCAAGATTTTAGTGCTGATTGCAGCCGTCGCAGTCTCTTGCATCCTACTGCGGACTTGCCTTAGGTAAGCTAATGCGTCTGATCAAACATCAACCCAGCAGGTCTGGTTCAAGGATTAGTTGAAACTTATTCATTGCATGATTTCCAGCATATAGCAAAGAAAGGTATCATGTAGAGCAGATTTAAGATATGTGCTGGCGTTTAATTAGATTTTAATCTGCGATGGATGTTGGGTCCTCGACTACACACATGCCTGAGCTCTAATTTTCGAAAAGAGTGATGTCGCCGTTGATATGCTTTACTACTTTTAAAACTCAATAGGGACAGTCAAAGAATATGATTTCTTCGGGATAGTGGAGGTTTAAATTTAGATATTATGCATGGGAGTTATCATGAGTTCGAAAATTTTCATAGAAAGTGATGACTGCGTTACGTATACTTTCATTTCATTACTATGAATTTTGCTACACTTTTGCGCATAAAGTTTGTGGCATGATCGTTGTCTGTATGCCACACACGACTTTAATTCGGGTACAAGCACGCATTAGCTAAAAGAAGTCCCCGCGTACTGGGAATCCTTTGTTCTCCCAGCCTCATACTGTTTTGCCAAGCGCAGTTTCCACGTGTCATGTCCCTACAACGGCCCACACTGGAGGCACGCCGAACCGGCACTGGGGGTCCAGGTTAGGATAAGGCACGCGTTATTCGGGCTGCGCATCCATAACAGCTGCCACGACTTGGGGATGTGGTTGCACGTCCCAGCGCAGGCTCACGCCGCACTGGCCACCTGCGCCCAATCGCCACGTTGCAGAGCTAACCAGCTTGGACAGTGGACCGGGGTGAGACTCCTTCCCCGCAGTATTCCAGCATGTTTCCCCGTTAAATACAGTTGGACGTGCTTTTAAACTATTGCAATGCGTCTAAAGTCGCAGCTTGGAAGATTGTCAGCTGACAGGGTAACTTGGTTTTCTGGGGACGCAGTGCCAAGCTGCAGTGGCTCATTCTGGGTTTAACCCAATTGGCGCTCCCATTCGCATGTGATCTGAGTCAATCACTTCTTATTTCTGTGAAAATCTGTTCTATGGTGCGCAGACCAGGCGTGAATGGCACACGTAGATGGGGTGTTTGTTTGTGTCGGCCTCTCATGTTCTGTTTGGATACAGGGCTCCGATGGGTGAGGGAGGAGAGCGTGCAGGAGATGCGACACAAGTCAATGATTCCTCCATGCTGTAGCACATACGGCGAAAATGATCGCTTGCGATGGTCAGACTGTCATTACATTTTAATTGACCAAGCATTGTACATTTCTGATCATGATTTTATTCTCCAGACAGCCTGCTTCTGGTAGTTCAGCCTTTAAGCTTTCGAACGCAGTTAGTTGTCTTGGGAGTTGTACTTTGCAGTTTTGATCTACTGTCAACATTTAGGTGAATTTCCCAAGATATTCCCTGCGTGGACCAAATGAACGCGTGGTATTTGATGAACTTACTAAAAGACGCTGAAGAACGGCAGTCCTACTCATTTCGAATTTAGTTGGCTCCGGTGTCGATTTACATCTTACCTCTGCTCTTTATTTTTCAAACCCATTTCTACCGCCAAGCTTCAGCCGTGATCCCCACACCCTTCATTTCCAAATTACGCAAGTTTTAGAAATTAGGTTGTGGTAGGTGCGAGACCGTGCATGCTGCTATAAACAACCTGGCCTAAAGTAATGCTTGTCATATTTATACAGGCTGAAATGTATGCCAGATTTGGCCTAGTGTGGATCACGCTGAATTGCCGAAGGAATAGACCCCCAGTGTCGTCCTCCATCTCCCATGCACCGGTCGACTATCCAAGCCTGTTAACCGACTGGTGATAGGGTCGGGAGCAGTGGCTGGCTCGGCGTGAGGGTCGACGTCTGAGGGGTGTACGGCGGTAGTTGGGACCTCGCACGGACCTTGCGCTGCCGAATTAACGCCTGCTGTGAGCCGGTCCAGCGCATCTACAGCGCAGCCGGTTGGTGAAACAGGCCCTCGACACACCATCGTGATGACCGATTTAGAGTAGCGACTTGGCGGAAGTTGTATTTCTTTAACATTCGAAAGAGCCTCATTTTCGTAGATTTTTTTATTTCAGAATCATTATCCGACATGTTTAAGTGCGCATACGTTTTGTTAAACAAGGCCGCACGTTCATGTAATGGGTTTACTTCACGTATGTACTTAATTCGTGACATGATAGCGTATATAATGTAAGGAAATACTGTAGTTCTCATCGGCAGAATAACGTTTTCATACTTGTTTTAGTACTTGCACCCAATATCCAGATTTCACTTTACTAATATAAATTACTGTACTTTACAGTGTGTATGGAACAAAAAATGTGCAAAATGTTTTCCAAAAAGTTTATGAAGAGACCAGCGAAACCACCCAGAAAGCAGTAAGTTATATAATTTTCCTACTAATATTGGTTATTTTGGTGTTTTATGCACGAGGTAAGAATGTGATATACGACTTTAAATCTGACAAACAACCCTTCTAATATTATAAATGCTTCGTTTTATACGAAAGAACATTTTCAATAAAGAACAGATTAATTCCGGTTAGTAAGCCGACATCGAAGGTCTGACTCTGCCAGAAATCCGTTGGCAAATGCGCAAATGTACTGCGAATTTGATAACACATGGAATGTGCCGAAATTTACGAAACTTAATTGCTCGCAATGCGACACAAACGAATATATCAAAACTTCTAATCAATAGTGGGTGACTTTAAATGGATTGACAACATAAAATAAATATTAAAAGCAGGATTATTTTGCGAAGAAATAAGCTTTTTATGGAGAAGCGTAACTTCCGAAACCTTCAGTTTAAGTTTAGGTTTCAAAACGGTCTCATGAGTATTGACTGTCTCGGATGATGGATTCAACTGAGAATCCGAAACGCCAGGCGAATAAAGACCTTGTTCCAGCGATCGCCTCTTCTTCTTCTGATGACTGTATTTTCTCAGCTTTCACATTGTTTGAGATGCGGTCGACTAATTTAAACAGAATTTTGCTCGAGTTCGCCCATAAGGACGTCACAGAAATAGAAGTTTTCACAAGGTCACATGCTGATAAGTCGGTCAATTTAGGGTAAGTTGATACCACACTAACAGCACAGGTACTAACCAATAGCCTATACACGCGTGTTTCGCCGATGTTTTGCCGCTGCATGGCGCAGCTGCGAGGGGTTCGGCTCGTCAGTGGGTCCCCCAGCATTACCCGTGTGTTTTCTGGTAGATACTCCAATTTAGAAATTGTCGATTTTAAATTTCCTCGTAAATTATCTACGAAGTTGGAGTAGATCAGTTTATTCAAGGCCTATAGACACAGACCGAGAATTTTGCGCATAGACCTTGAATAAACTGATTTATTCAAACTTCGTAGATAATTTCTGTGGAAATGAAAAAGCGACAATTTCTAGACTGGAGTATCTACCGGAAAACACACGGGAATGCTGATGGGGACCCACTGACAAGCCGAACCCCTCGCAGCTGCGCCATGCAGCGGCAAAACATCGACAAAGCACGCGTGTATGGGTTTTTGGCTAGTACCTGTGCTGTTAGTATGGTATCACCTGACCCTAAGGTATGCTACTAGCTGCCTGTCGGCAGCTGATAAAGATTACGCGATTACTCGCTGTGGCTGATGGACTTTGGCCCAAATATTCATGTATAAAATTCTCGGTCTGTGCCTATAGACCTTGAATAAATTGACCTACTCCAACTTCGTAGATGATTTCTGAGGAAATTACGAAGAGACAAGGTTGGTCAGGGGCTAATAACTTTGAACAGAATAAGCAGGTGCGGTCACAAGCATACCATTTTTTATATGTCAAGAGGACATCCCTTCCACCAACTTTCACTTTTTTCTCGTGCTGGAGTACGTCGAGTTTCAGATTGTTCCTGAAATATCGGTGGATATTCCACAATTTTCCGTGCTTTCAATGGATTACACATAAATGTAGATTATGTGTTGTGCGTTTACCAAAACCTTTCCAAGAAGATGTTCTCAGGAAGAATTTACCGACTTAATGAGTACTCAGACATTCTTTCTCATGCAGATGGCAGTTTGAGTCGTATTTGTTAACTCATGCAAACACGAAGCTTCATTGCCGGGAAGAATGAACGTTCACAAAGCAGGTTGGCGATGAATATGCTCTAGATCAATTGAACAACTTTTTACAACTAGTCACTTATTTACAAAGCGCTTGGATAAGGTAGTTTGCTGATGCATGTCGCGTATTTTACCTTTTTATAAGGTAAAACCAATGTAGAAATTGGGGCGTTTGGCTGGCTTTTCACTTCCCTGAAAATTAGTGATAATTTTTCTTTTGAAGACTGAAAAAATCACTTCCCTCTTTATATAGAACTTATTCTGGCTGCATTTACTTGCTTAAAAGTTTTATTCCTAGATTATAAATGCACGACAGGCGGCCATATACTTACTAAGATATTGTTTATGCTTCTAGTTTTCCACCCCCCCTTTCTAAATTACGGAGTAGTGTGAACTAGACCATACATAAAATATCATACGCTTGGTAGAGAACCTTTACCTGACAACTTATTAAGTATTCGGAAAGGACGGGAAAATATAGGAGTGTCCAGGCAAAGGATTGTCCGTAGGCATTATTGCTGCGTTTTAGGACATAGAAGCACATGGATTTGTAAAGTTTACTTCTGAAAATCGATAAAACATATAGTTTTCTAAACATGGCCTTGTCTAAACCCCACTCTTTCTGGTTTATGTGGAGTAAAAAAACAATTTTCAAGTGTGCCAAGCTCCGTTTGGTAAAACCCTCGAGTGAAGATTATTTTTGTCTAGAAGAAAAGCATGCTTGGATGCGCGAACTGAGTATGGGACGTATTCAAGCATAGGAAACTACCTGAATACAAGGTACCGTAGATTTCTGGTCAAACTTGTGAATATTTTGACCGATATACTTACTCGTAATCATATCCTGCACACAAAAAGGACACATTTCGAAGCGAGTTTTGGATGCCTAAAACTGATCGTCTCCATTTTTGCTTTCTCGTTTCATGAATTAGGCTGATGTCACGGTCAGCCCCGTCACGTTTATCTTCTAATGATCATAATTTTCGTCTAGTGATTAGTTCGTTGGCATTCTCGGAGAAGCTACGTTTTGTTTGGCTCCGACTCTAACCATTGTGTCTATTGAAGGTGTACCCACGACCTACCTTAGGAAGGCAGGTGAAACCTTACATCGCGGCGTATTTTTCACATTTATGCCCTCCTCGTGACAAAAGTACTCGTGTGCATTGGTTGTGTCCTGTTACCCAATAACGTTTTTTCTTGTAGGCACTTTGCGGACAACCAAACTACGGTGAGTTTGACATTTGGATACGTCGTGTCGATGCACAGCTTCCTTAAAGACCTATGCATTAGTCAAATGAGTGTTAAAAGCAGAAATTTAGACGGAAATAGGCATATGGGGTAGGACAGGGGGATCTGGACCTTCACCGTACTACAGGTGGTTTTGCGCCAAATCCTAGGCGGGTGCCTGTTCACATGTCCTAACTTTAGCCCTACATTAATCCAACCCTCTCGAATTTAGGGCAAATCTACCTGTAATAGGGGAGGCCCATATTCTTGTGCCGAACCACACATAGAATAGTGGTTATTTTGATAATCCCAGACATGCCGGTTTTTGAGAAGTGAGTTAAGCAACCTTCTGTCACCGAGCTACAAAGCATTCGTAGTAATAGCAATTATGACAGGCTGTCAAGCTTACACAACGGCGAATGAGCCGTCAGAAAGTGCCCGGGCCTTTTTAGGATGCGACTAGCTGATGGGAGCAAGCGAATTCTCCCTTTTTTCTGAAATATATCTTCACTAAGCCCAACCTCTCGTGATTTTCAGATCTTGTTAACTTTACTAACGTTCTCTGATTTTTTTGAGGAAGTCGGTAGGCTGAATATTAGCTGGGAGCGTCTGGACTACGAGGAGTTAGCCGCGCAGTGGGGACTTCCTAAAACCCAAACGATCTGGCAGAATGATTCAAATTTCACTGATGTCGCCTACACTTTGGAACGTCCGGGGACGAATGACAGCCCTGCGGCAACAGCTGTGTGGACACCCGTGAACTGTGAACAGCCAGAGGCCCTAGCGATTATTATTCCCTTTCGTGATCGTTATCAAAATCTCTCCGTCTTTCTCAACCACATGCATCCCCTCTTACGGCATCAGCGTCGACGGTACTCCATTTTCGTCATCGAGCAGGTAGGCAGAAAAGAACAGCCCAGTACATTTAGCAGTTTTCGTTGTCTGAAGGAAGGAAAAAATAGACGGCTTGATAAATCTTCAAGCACATTATTAAAACACAGACGAGATCCACAGGTTCTGAGAGGAAGGTTTAATTACCGATTTTAGCGCGCTCCTAAAGCTCCCGATGTACTTCCGAGATGTCGCGTCTGAAGGTGTGCTTAAGGAGATTCGTAGCTTCTTAGATAGAACCTGAAGAGATCGTTCATTCCTGTAAATTCTTCATTTGCCGAGAAGCGAAAAGTAGAAAGGGAACCGATAAATCAAGTTATAGTCTGAAAAAGCAAATGAGGACATATATTTTGTTTTATACCGAAACAAAGTGACATCTCAATTCTAGTGGATGATATAAATCAGGCGAACTCATTAGTCAAATTCACTTTGGAAGAAGAACAGTCCGTTCACTTCCTTTTCTGGACGTGCTTCTGAGTAGAAGGCCTGACGGCAGCATTCGACGCAGCATCTATCGTAAGAAAACGCGGTCCAGACAATACACACATTTTGGGAGTTTCGTACCACTAAACGTTAAACGTAATTTAGTTCGCTGTTTGACAAAAAAGTGAGAAGAATCTGCTCAGCTGATGGTGTTGAGAAAGGGCTTAAGGTCATCGAAAATCTTGTTCGCCAGAACGGGTATCCTGATCGGTTGATAGCAAAGAACATAACCGAAAGACCACCAAAGCCCCCGCTGCTGACGGCAGGAAAGAAAAGGCTCTTCATCAGGGTCCCATTTCAAGGGGACGCGCCAAGTGAACTATTAAGAAGTCGCCTAACTCAAGCTGTATAACAGACCTCTCTAGCAGCTGACACCCGTGTACTGTTCTCCACTAGCCCCATCCTATACGGAGAGGGCTAGGACAAACTACCAGCTCAGACCACCTCTATGCGTAGTTACTCCTTCACCTGTTCCTGCGAGGCAGAACATATTGGTCGCACGAGCCGGCGTTTATTCAGAAGAATAAAAGAGTATCTTCCAGCATGATTAAGAAAGCGTCAAATAAAGAACATCAAGAGCTTAATGCTTGCGCACATGGTAGACATAAACCACCGTTTAGACGCCAGAGAGGCCTTCAGAGGGATTTACAAGTCCCGTCAAGCTATCTAAAACTGCTATGGCAGAGGCGGCTGCAATTGGGCTACGCGAACCGATCCTTTGCACACAGAATAACTTCCTTTAGATCCCACAGTTGCCATGACTCAAAGCCACCAAGTCAGCCATCCGCATATAATTACATCCGCCGGGGCCCACCTCTCTGGGGCTGACTGGAATTGTGGTGTTTCACTCCCCCCCTCCCCTCTCCTCCCCTCCTCAAACCCCAGCTGCAACATAATTATCTTTTTCCCCGTACCATTTACTTAATTACTTCAATAGCCATATAAGTGTACAGGACTGAAGAGAATTTGTCAAAAGCAGACGTATGCTCGCCAAATTGCCTTTTTGAATTATACAATAAGGCAACAGACTAATATTTATTTTCGAGTTCGTTTCCTTTTTGTTATTTCGTTTTTCTCAGATTGCACCCCACACCTTCAATCGAGCCGCTCTCTTCAACATAGGCTTTCTAGAAGCCTCGAAAAGGGCCGATTTTGGATGTTTCATGTTCCATGACGTGGACCTTCTGCCCGAAGATGATCGGAATATGTACGCTTGTGAAGACCAACCGCTGCATATGTCCGCCACCATCGACAAATTTAACTATAAGTAAGCTAGTCACGCGTTTTGTAACCTGTACGGGGATCTTTTGCGAAATGTCTTTTAAATTATTTTTTTCCACTGAACGTGGTTAGTTGGAACCATTTTAGACCTTGGATTGCTGCCTCTTCTCAAGTGCTCCATACATCATCATTTACCCATACCGTCAGTTACTATTACCGTATGGATTCTTTTCTGCCCTGATTAGCTCTATTCTGGACTCCGTCTCATAGCGGAGATAACTTAGGACACTGCAAAATACGTCCGCAATTTCAGACTGGAATCACTGACTAAGAGAATTTTAATTAAACGAACATTTCTCTTCTCGGGAATAAAGCGGGATAATTAGGGTGACAGCTAATGCATTCTTATGCAGATCGAATGTTTGAGGACATTTTCGCATTGAAAATCTGACTCAATCGAGGCAGCCAGTAGGCAATCCGACTTTGAATGGCACCCCGTTCCTTGTTTGCGACCTCATAGTGAAAATCGAGCCATTATCAGGAACCTTAGTATTAGATAGCTAAGAAGCTGGACTGGCTGTTTGTGACTTATTTGTTGTCGTCAACTCGTGAGTTGAAACACCTACTAGCTGAGCCTAAATTAATTTTTCCTAAAGCCTGACGTACTGTCACTGAGTCGTGGGCTCACGATCCATGGCGTTTAAGCGATTGCTAAAACCCAGTCACATTCAAAATCTTCCCTGCCTGGGCTCCAGGATTGATCGACGGTCGATGATTAGTAAATCAGTAGCAATGAAACCCGCTTCTCCTCCCATACTCTCACAAATTTCTCCGTATAAGCGGTTTCGTTTTGCGCAAGAGTTGTGCATTCAAACACCAGTGAGAGTTTATCTTGGAGACGAGAATTTACAAAAGAGGTTCAGCCTTCTAGTACTGGTATAGTGAAATTGTGCATGCATTTTCCCCTAAGGCCAAGTCAGCGACAGGAAGATGATTTTGTATTTGGAAACCCTGTCCCTGTCAACGTCGATGTTTACGGTCGGCTAGGTTAAGTAACATTGATTTTGCGTTCAAATTGTTTCTAAGTATCAGTGGTCCATTAATACGTTGATATTTTATTCGAAAATAATTAGCGATTTTTAAAACGCATTGAAATGTGACCTTTTTCCCCATAATGCCAATTGAATAATTAAAATCTATAGGTAATTTATTAAATTTTGCCGACAGACTGCCGGCTTCTATGGAATCGAACGTTCTCTGAATGCAAGCTGACTCCATATCTCCACTGTGGATAAATGCGAGTTCCCGGATTTTCGTTCTGATTGAGATATTTGCACTGTTTAGAGGGGGTAACGCATTTATGAGTGCTTCTGTTTGAGGTGCTTTGTGCAACGTACACCCCCTGCCGTGCTTCTTATGAAAAAGAGAGGCAAGGGTTGGTGTTGAGGGCAGCACTGTGTCATTATCTTTCGCGCATTCACACATGTCCCTTCATGGGGCCTCGTTATCATGACTGTCTATTTTCCAGTTGCCTCATCGGCCGTGCTGTTAATGCATGGCAAGGGGTTGACCATGACATGATCACGCCAACGGGGACATCTTTGTCCCAAAACGGGTGACTTAAAACTGGATCCATATTCTGAGTCCATGTGTACCGAAGTGCAGCTTGACTCAGTGACTATGAGGAGTCCAACATGTCCTCGGCATCTTCAACTGCGGGACGAAATACCTGACTAGCCACTGAGTCTTGGCTCACCTGGGCTCTACTGTTCTAATTCTTGTCCCCAATCACGTGGCACATGTGCAAAAACCTATCATGTTTGATGCTGTGCACGACTCATTTATTGTCAGAGAATTCATGCCAGATGCAGAACCATCAGCGAGACAATGGTAGTCATTGTCGGACAAGACGGACGAGCTACTAGAGTTTGAACAGGTGAAGCGGGCGACGTGAATGAGGCCGCCTTCCCTGGCTCATGATTAATTACGTTCCACGGTCTCGCCTTCGGTAGTAGGAGACCCAGCAAACTCAAAACACGGAGATCGGGGGACGGCGCAGTTGACAGCACCCTTCAAACCCTGTCTAATACCGAATATAGTCTGGTGTTAGGTAACTTTAAGATGGTGGCAAGCAGCCTTGCGCGCGTTTGAGGATTCCCACATAGCATGAAGACCCCCTGGCGGCCAGGTATTAATGCTTCGAGTGTACGAAACGTCAAATAGCTACTGGAATGAGTTCATTGACACAGTACTCAACTGTCATGTTGTCGAATTCACCTCCTTTATTTATATACCGTTCATAGATGAAACGAGGGAACTTCCGCCAGTGCCATGTCGTTGACGTGACCCCTGCCAAAAATCCTACCTAATGGGAAATTAACGAGAGCGACAAAGACTAATGTTAAAACTGACCTCGTAGGAGCATAGGAACGGGACTCAGTCAGCTTATAGCCCATATCTTTGAATACTGCAACCGAATACCCACGCTTGACATTTAGTTGTGGTTTCAGTTTCAATTTCAGGAACGTTTGCTACCCCGTCTACAGTATCACTTTCATTCCTCCACGTACGATAGTAGAAACCTGGCGATAATTAGAGAGAGTCAACTGGTTGGACGGCTGTCACCACAGTTATGCGAATACTTCTGTCGGAACGCCTCTTGTCTGATCATCTGACTTACAACCTCCCAACCGCGGTTGACAGCTTTAAAAGCAGTCAAGAAGTCAGGGCGCAAAAAGACGTGCTTCTCTCGACGCAAGTTAGGGCGCGTAGCCTATGAGCCGGCCGTGCGTTAGCCAAACATGGCCAACAAACCTGCATCATGAATAATAGAACTGGTTTATTTTGGCGTCTAAACAACTAACTTAAACCACGAATGGAAGAGAATATGCGCATCCCAGGTTCTTGTTTAGAAGAAGGCGAAGGCACGATCACTGGGACACTGGATTCTTAAGCCGACTCCGGCGCAACAATGTAATCTCGCTGGACGAATGGCGCCAGACCAAACCAACCGACACAGCGTTGGCCAGGTTCTACTGACTTCCAAATATCCACAAACCCAACGTTCCTCTGCGGCCAATCGTTGCCCTGAAAGGCAGCCCCACATACAATTTAACCAAATGGATGTCCCGAAAGCTCAATTTTCTCCGAGAGGGCTCTGTAACGTCTGTCAATTCGGCCTCCCAATTCCTTGCCGACATTCGGGGAAAAACCATTCGACCTGACCAAATCATGGTATCCTTCGACGTTGTCTCACTTTTCACGTCCATCCCACCAGACTTGGCGCGCGACGTGCTACGCAAACGCCTCGAAGAAAAGTACGACGAAACGACAGGGCCGCTAAAGATCCAGCACCTAATGCAGCTCTTTGCATTCTGCCAACGAATCTTTTTCACCTTCGATTACAGAACATACGAACAAATCAAAGGAACACCCATGGGTTCCCCAATATCCAGCATGGTTGCGGAATTAGCCCTACAAGAGCTGGAAAAGGTTGCTTTCAGCTATTGCAAACCTGCGTTTTGGCGCCGATACGTGGACGATACATTCGTCATTATTGAAATGGACAAGCTATCGTGTTTTCAAGACTTACTTAATAGCATATTCCCCGACATTCAGTTTACAAGAGAAGACAAGGAGGAAGAAAAACTACCCTTCCTGTACGTGCTCGTCACGCGCACACCTGACGGTGAACTCAGCACTACAGTGTACAGAAGGGCAACCAATACAACCCAGGTCCTCAACTATCATAGCAACCACCCACTGGTGCACAAACGGGGCTGTGTGGGGGGGGTTTTCGACCGGGTAAAAACGCACTGTAGCGAGCCCGAAGGAAGGATGCAAGAACTACGGCATCTCCGGGACCAATTAAGAAAAAAACGGCAACCCTAATAGTTTTATCAGTTGTTGCATACGCACGCACCCACGCCGGACAAACGGAAGAGAGACACCAACAATTTGGCACTGCCTACCGTACATAAAGAATGTGTCCGAGGCTACAGAACGCATTGCGTCAGAGCTAGGCGTGGGCATCGCTCATCATCCTGCAGCCACCATGCGTAGCAGGATCATGAAAATGAAGGATCGGCTGGACGCAGGTGAACAGTCGGGCGTAGTCTATCAAATCCCGTGCCAAAACTGTCCTTGTCACTACACAGGCCAGACAGGACGACGTCTCAGCTCACGAATACTTGAGTACAAACGGGCCGTTCGAAGAGGCGACCCATTATCTCAAGTAGTCGCTCGCACGCTGGAGGAAGGCCATGAGTTCGACTTCGCCAATACGCGGATATTGGCGCGAGCCGGCAACAAGACAGGGCGAGAGCTGTTGGAGGCGTGGATGTCGGACACCAACTCTATCAACAGACACATCGATTTGCCTGCGTGTTATCAGGCGCTCCGCCCACGCAGCCAGGTAGCGCAGCTCAAACCGTCGCGAAGTACAAACGGCGTCACCACGGGGGTGGGGCGGACCGTCGTGGACCAGGCGGCACGAACCCTACCTAGCCACGTACGTACTTCCCCTCCCTCCCCGCAAAGACGAACGATATAAATGTTCGCAATTTGCTGCACTCAAGTAGTCTCTGATGATGAACTCCAGTTCGAGTTCGAAAGCTCAGGCAAATAAAACTACTGTCCCAGTGATCGTGCCTTCGCCTTCTTTTAAACTAACTTAAACCATCTTAACCTAGAGAAAGGTGGTGTACTCCTCGATCCTAAATGCGGAGAACAACCGGAAAGCTCAGAACTGGCAAGTTAGCGTGTGTCGCGTCTTCTGAGAGAACAATGCATATTTTTATAATTCAACCCTATCAATACTCTCAATACTTCCAAAGTTTTGTATCTCTCAAGGTGATGTTTGTCCTTCTACCTGCATTACTATCCTCATTTTATCCGCCGGAAACAAATATTTACGCCGTTTAAATAGCTAGCCGTTTCATAGCAGATGGTTTTTGACTTATAGCTGCACACTCTAAGACGGAGCAAAGTCCAAACACTGGTGCTTCAAGGCGTGCGACGCAGGACGAATTTTTTGTACGGACATCTCCAATGCACTTTAACCTTCTCTGCCAGGTTATAAACTGTGCACTAACTCTGTCCGCTTAGCGCACAAGGCCAGGCCGAATCAGCAGTCGTGTGCATGTTCTTTGGAACTTTGGAGTTGACTTACCGAGGGTCAAGTGAGAACATGTGGCTACTCGTATTACAATCTCACCGATTGCCCACTGTAACCTTTTGGCGCATAGATGCGAAAATTAACACTAAAGGATCCACTAAACACTTGATGAGCCTAGGTGTGCTTTCGGTAAATTAACATCGGGCAGGTGCATTTTGATCGGAGCGGGGTACGAGTAAACGTATGAGGGATAAGACGAATCGATTACAGTTCACCTTCTCATGCAAGCGGTATGAGGCACAAAAAGATAGAGTTAGGAGGAAGAAAGGGTAAGGGGGAAGGGGGGGGTGTTGCAGAGGAGTACATGCGGCTAACCGAACCTTGGTCACGGTAGGCGTGGAGCTTGCACCAGATACTTCTGCGCGCACAAGATCGGTTTTAATAACCTCATGGCAGTCGCCATTGCTGCCGCTAGCAGACGCTGACCCGGTCGCTTGGGGTACTTCGGTGTAACCTTGCTAATCACACGGAAGGCTGTGTTGGGGTCTACATGATGCGCGGAGTTAACAGCGTGTGCGAGAATGGCGATGTCAATGCTTTTAATTTCACCTCTTCTCAACCATGCCAGGAGGCATTTCCGTATTCTTTTTAATACGTGCCCACTCGTACCAGTAATATAACCTGCTGAACAGGTGGTCTGGACTGGTAACTTAACCATACAAAATAGGGTTGGTCTAGAATGATACCTGAACTCTTGTCGTCGGGAATGTTCGTGGAAATGACTAGTTAGGGCGTCCTCTGGGGAGTTCACTTGCTGCGCCCCCTTGAAAAGCGGCTTTGAGGAGCAGAACGTTTTTTTCCGCCATCAGTATGATGGGTATTGGGTGTTTCTGTAGTATCCTCCACAACGTTTTTTGATGTTTTTAGCTCAAAACTAAGGTTTACATGTTTTCATCGATTTTCAAACCGCATACTGCCTTCTTCCAATAGATTAAGTAATATCCCACTACGATGTCACGCGAAGGGAATCTCGGATGATTGGAAGGTTGTGCAACGTCCACAGACCTGGAGACAGTTAACTGCACTAAGAATCATGAGGCTGTCTTCAGCATTTCCATAGCGGTTAAATATTTAAAAACTGACATGCCCATTTTCACCCAGTCGTACATTTAGCAAGGACAACATTTCGTGTAAAATCAGAATAAATAACGTTTGTGATACCTTGCAGAATTTATAACTGGAGCGAAACATGTCAAATGAGCGTTCGACCCTCACTGTTGAGGGTAGGATCTCAGTCGATCCCACTCTGACCGCCTGCCAGCTTGCTACTGACGACAACGAACGTTGTGTCCTAGGACACATACCACATAGGCAGCTCGCTAAGAGTGCAACAGGAGAGACGTACTGATGATCGGTGATGACCGCGAAACAGCTGTCAGCGTCCGGCCTTTTGCACTCCTACTGAGCTGCTTATGTGCCTCATAACAGAGCGGGCGGACAAAGTGGGGTCGAGTGAGATCCTAACCACAGCAGTGAGGCTCAACCGCTTACTTGACACGTTTATGTACCTCACTTCATATGGCCTATGATGTACTGATGATCGGTAATGACCGTAAAACAGCTGTCTGCGACTGGCCCGTTGCACTTCTTGTGAGCTGCTTATGTATGAAACAAGACAATCATAAAATATTAACTTCTAAGTATGTTTTGGTCAGATAAGGATTGTTTTCCGTGTAACTTTCCAAATCAAAAGTCCGCATCCACGTAAACATCCTTGGGATTATATTTCGTACAAATAGTTTTTACAACATCAGCCTAGCCACCTTTTCCATGTGAGAATATGCATATTGGAACATGTTAATTAATACGTTACGATGTTCTGAGCATAGCTATGGAACTCTGGGCGGGATAAATGAAATTAACCTTCTGCTTTACATCCCTAGAAGCGTGGAAAATGTTGTGAACGACACTTTTGCAGGCTGATAATATTGTCGATTAGTGCGTGCTTTTGTATTAGTTGTAATTCTTTTTAGAAAAACTGTTATTTGCCTTTGAAGACCGCTTCTTTTCGCCCCCTAATGTAGACTGTTTTACAACACCTCGTTTGGCGGAGCCGTTGCTATGAGGAAGGAGCATTTTGAAAGAACGTTAGGATTCGCCAATACCTACTTTGGATGGGGTTGCGAGGACGATGACATGAGCCGGCGACTGCGCTTTGCTGGGCTAAAGTTAACACGACGCAATTTTACCTTCGCTCGGTATACAATGTTGAAACACGGCAGGGATAAGGGCAACCAAGAGAATCCCAAAAGGCAAGTTCTTTACCATAGTTGCTAACTTAACTGAGACTTAACAAAACGTCCTTGAAGGTAAAAGTTGATGTCTGCTAAACGCGTGATGACGTATGTAGGGCATAGATGGCAAAAAATTGTAAGACATGTGAAAAAGGAAGAACAGGAAGGCTGCTTAATTACAAGGAGGAATCGCGTAACCCTCAAGCTCATGAAAGCTTCTATTAATATTATTATTATATACAATGGGTGACATGGCAAGTAAATGATATACAGAGCCTCCTTCGGTCGGCCAGTTTCCTGGATCGCGGTCAGAGCTAAAAACGTCAATTAGCTTCTAGTCCGCCTTTCTGCTGGGCTTCCACCTATGAAACAGGCAATAACGCGCTCTATGCAGGCATCAGAACGACTCCGTGGGCAGGATAACATTATGGTGGCGTGTCGTTAGAGGTTTTGATCGCAGACGAGAACACAGTGTGTATGCGCGTGGAACGGCCGCATGTGTGCCTAGCCCTACGAGGGCAATTTCAGATAGGCGATATCAACAACTGCTGGGCTGACAGTAAATGCAGCTTTAGTCTATTGTTTTCTTCTTGTTTGGACAGGAGGCTTCAAGTCAGTAACTTATTTATGCCTACGTTCCGACAGTCGACGCGCAACGTAAGGCAAACACTCAAGATGGCGCTTCAACTTAGCTTGAGACGACAATATTCTGTGTGCCAATTTCTAGGGACTGTTGTCAATGTGGACAAATTTCGACAAGAGCTTGCAGAATGTTGTCCTTTTATGATTGCTGGACTAGAGGTGATGCTAAGCAGCTCTGATCTTTAAGCCAAATCAAATGAAAAGTGGACGTTACAATGCGCAAATGCCCTAATTGTAAAGAAGATTATTCTAAACCTAGGATTTGAGCCACACCTTTGTGAATAATAGGATAGAGGCGCTTTCAGACAATACACCAAAAGTCTGTGACAAAACCTACGTAAACCCTACTCGAACATAAAACGGCGAATTAATTAGCACGAAAGTCTCTATTTATTTTCGGTGTCTCTGTAAATTCAAACATGTTTTGTGGTAAGTACGCATAGAAAGAATCCCTTTCCAATTTAGTTAGCACGTGCGTCTTCATCGCATTTTATACTTGACGAAAAGGTTTCTTTCACTTTCAAAAAAGTTTGCATTCACTAGTTTTTTAGACTGTGAATTGCATGTTCAAACAGAACAGCAACAGTACGTTTATTACTGCTGTTTATGAAGTATAAAGCACGGTCCAACCCAATCGAAAATGGCATGGGCCCTACATGACGTCTTCTTAATAGAGTAAATAAACTTATGCTTTTTCCTACACGGAAGGTATGCAGCATGTAGTTTGGGAATCTTAAGTGAAGGTGCAACTGCAGGTGGCGTTCGCATTTACCCAGCAATTGAAAAAGAGGCTTTTGAAAGCCGATGAATACCGTTTCTTCAAGTGCAAAATTTGAAGAAAGCGTAATTTTCCACCATATGAGTACAAGAAATGATATTTTCATTTGTATTTTCCAAAAAATACATATGAATTTAAAGAACGTCAATAAACAATGCGAACGAATTGTACTACTCGGGAAGCTACTTTTTATTAAGTTTAGGTTTTGCGGACGGCCAGAAAGAAACTCATCCAAAATCGACATCCTGGCGCGTCCAAATTATCATGCCGCACGGTAATCAATATTATAACCCAACCAAATTAATCCTTCCTAATAAAAAAACATATTTTAGAGTTTCGGTCAACAGTTCAGAGACTAGGCCAGTCTACTTTATACTTTGCATAAAGTGACCAGGACTTATCACTTTCAAGCATGTCAGCACCAGCGAGCGAAAACACCAGTCCGAGGAAAGAGTTGAGAAGTAAAAGGGATTGCGGGAACAAGAACCTTACGCCTTGAGTTTTGGAATCACAGTTGGACCCATCATCAGTGACAGCATCAGATACAGATATTTCATGCAGAATGGACTGCAGTACTTATCAGACGCAGTCGAAATGCAGTCGCATGCCTGAACACGTCCAAGTCCTCCGGCGTCTGACTTTATGTCTCAGGACGTACTTCACGTTAAACAGAATAATCAACGAGCGCTTGAAAGGCACACCAAGGGGTTCGCCGACTTCTGGATTCATGGCCGGGACGGTCCTGTAACCGTTGTAATCGCTGGTCTTCCTACGTTACATGCTGAAATTCTGGGTTCGGTATGCGGGTGTAGTCTTCCTCGTCACCAAACGAGATCAGGCGCTGACATCCAAAGTACATATCAAAGCCGTCTTCCCCGACATTCAGCTCATAGAGGAGGCAGAGGAAAACAGCCAGTTGGTCTTTTTTACTGTCCCCGTCGTCTGAAAAAATAGTGACGATATAAAAGCCAAAGTGTTCAGGCAAGAGACAAATACGACGCAAGTACTGTACTTCAGCAACAACTACATACTCGGCCACAGACGCAGTTGTGTAAGGGTACGATTTCGGTCTGCTGAGATGCACGGCAGTGAAACGGAAGACAAAGTTGATGAATTAAAATACATTCAACGGGTGTTCAGAGCAAATTGCTGCATACGCAAGTTCGTCAGCCAGTGCTTTCACAAACAAGACGAGGAACCAAATATCACTTGTCATAAATTTTGGCAGCCGCCTCGCACCTTTTGGATTTGGGGCTGCACACAGACCCGGAGCAACCATAAGGCATCAGGTCATGAGGCCGAAAAGCCCACTACCACGATAAGAAACGTCTGGAGTCGTTTACCGGATCTGACGTAGTTGAGAGCAAAAAATGCTTTAGAAAGACTGGGAAACTGCCTGGACGCGAATGGCTGAACATGCAGCAGTGGTGCGGAGAAATGACGTCGCAGCTCATTTGGCAAGATTCGGCAGCAAATGTAGGCTCCACGAGGCCGAAAATTTCGCGAGAGACGGCAACCGCGTGAGTCCCGTGCTGCTTGGGTCATGTTTCACTGGCCCCCAGTATATTATCAGGTATGATGACCTGGGAAGAATAATTAGCCAGGCGGGAGCGCGCAGGCAAAACACAGCTTCCAACGCCAGTGGCGATGAGTCGAACGACCGAGTAATTTTAGCACCAGCATCCAACACGGGCGGTGAAGTCGCGGTGTCTGAGGGCTCGAATGCTGGTCATCGAGCCATTATCGCACCAGAGACAACCATCCTCGCTGAAGGGGGAAGGGGGCTTCAACCGTCATAGGTCTGCGGTAGCATAGTGACTGCAATCTATAAGTACAACAACTCCTTTTGCATGAATTGCCCGTATCTGATGCCGTCGCTGGCGGTGTCTTCAATCATGAAATCGGTGAGTCAGACGAATAAAGTTCTTGTTCCAGAGATCGCTTCTACTTCTCATGCCAGTAGCTCGTTCTCGAACCGAGAGTTGTCATGCTGTCAGACTGCTGCGCCTGGTAACTTCAGTTAAGATTTAAGGCAGTCAACATGATTGAAAATGCGATTCTCAGATGGCATATCAGAAGAAGAGGAGGCGTTCACAGGAGGGAGGGGTTTGTTGGAGATCTGACGTTTTAAGTAGTTGCTTCGTCTATTCATCTTCAGGGCTTAGGAAGTCACGAAGTTCACGCCTCCAACAAACTGCGCCATATGTGTAGAGCCGTGCGCATGACTTCCCAGTCTCTGAATATGGGTAGACGAAGCAACTACGCAAAGCGTCAGACCGCTAACAAACCCCTCTCGGTGAACGCCTCCGCTTATTCTGATTGAAGAGAGTAAATATGAAGAGCGAATTGTTACTTGCTTGTGAATATATGCATCATCCCATTCGGATAATGCACAATGACTATTCCGATTGCCAACAAAACGAAACACGTGGCACGAGGGCAATGGGCGGTTGGGTATCACCCACGGCTATATTTCTAGACAGTCCTCTTAGAAACAAACATAGAACGTTGATATGCCGTCCCCATCTTCGAATTCGCCAACGATGACCTCGAAGACATGATTTTGGCGCTAGTCCCAAATGTTGACAGGAATCTAAGTCATCATATAAGCTGTTGAGTAATTGTTGGCTTTTGTTGCATTTGGCGTCAGATGTTACGTTTTACTGTTTGGACTCCGGAGAGAAATGGAGCCGAACGACTAGTCTAAAAATTGCACCAGGTAGATACGATGCTTCATCTGTTATGCCTCACAGTGGTATCACATTGGTATCACAAAACCCCCTTTTCCGTATCGTCTTTTGCAAGCACAAGATGCCTGACGCGAGAGCTGCAAAAAAGGGCAGAAATTGCGTTTCGCTTCAGTTTGTACGTGAGAAATTCGACTAGGAAAATTTATATATAGGACATCCCAGGAAATAGAACGCAAGCATTTTAGGCTTTGGAATGTTAAGGTGATTTTGCGAGGCGATTTATCCCAAACCTTACACAGAAGTAAGTCGTTCAGTGAATGATCCCTTCTCGCAATGTAATGGCCGTATCATATTATGTCCTCTCTGCATTCCACACCTTAGACAGTTCTATTTGTTCCTCACTTCTAGGAAAGCGCGACTGGCGAAGGCTCGCATCCTGTGGGAGAAGGACACCTACTTGGATGTTCGCTACGAGATCCGAAAGCAGGAGCTGAGACACAATGGACTCTATCATTACTTTGGAGTGGATATTTTGCAGCCAAATGAGGAAGTGGCAAAATTAGTCACAATGAAATCAAGCGGAAAACGCCCTTAAGATAATTTGGAGGGATAAAGGTTTTAAAGAGTTATTTTGACTTGCCTTTAAAGTTTGACTGGTGGGCATGCCGGGGAAAATTCATGATACACTATGTTTCTTTGTGTAGTAGTCACAAATAAAGTGTATCAACTGGAAGACTTGGTTATACACTCCCCATGCGAAGGGTGCAAACATTGACGGGCTATTAAATGCACATATACACAGGGGATTAGCATTAAATGAACTTGTAGGTATGGAACTCCTTGTTGTGGGGGCATATCACCAGGAAATGCGAATAATCTGCTATAGTGCTTCTTCAGACTCATTTGGCCTTTCTTTTGGCCAACCATGGACTTGGTCATTATCTGGAATCAGAAGTAGATGGAGCACAGACGTGCTCACCTTCATGTCTCATAAAAAATTCCCTAGGAGTGAGTTTCATCGGTGAATTCCCGCCTGGCATTCTCTATCGATGTAAATGTGTAAGCAGAATAAACCCTGAAAAAGTTCTCTATCAATTTGATCGCATCTCTCTCGTCAACCTTCCCATGCAATCGTATTTTAGTCGAGTCCGGCCTGGTAGGTGCCTGCTCGTTCGTCACTGCTATTCCCAATCTGTAGCTTGTTTGTTTCGGGAGACCAAAGGAACAGTATGAATCTATTCCCGCATGAGATTTGTCATCGTACTTAATTGTAATAAGTAGTGGATGTCTTCGTATGTTAGCTCTAAGAAACAGGGAAATTGCACATTTAGATAAACTGTACTGCTGGTTGGAGTCCACGGCTAGTCTCTAAATTCACATCAGCTGCTCTGTTATAAACGCATCTCATAAGGGTACCAATACAGCGAGTCTGGGTTGGGTTTATTAGAGCGATGAAAGGCAAACGACAAAGATAAACGACTGCAAAGCTAGAGCTTTTTACTTTGTAAGTAGTCTGAGCCACTATATATTTCACAACCCAGACTCCGGTTAGTTAAGGACCTCGAGCGATGGCACATGCGTCATGGCTGCACTGATTGGTCGGCTCTCTGCAGTCCATAGTGGGACTTTTTAAATTCTGAAAATAAGGGATGGTATCCTAGCAGTACATAAACTAGGGAGGGCAAGGGTTCCCTAAAACTAGCAAATATATGTACTCGGAAAGTGTAACATGCAACTTTTTGCATGTTGCAATTGCTACAGAATTGGCACTCCTCCATAATGCTTCTTTCACTAAAGCCTAAAACCTGTTTTTACGTCGTTAAATGTAGCCAGTTCCACTTTCAGTTGATTGAGACCAAATGTCTACCGAGATTTTTCGCCGGAGCCGGCGTCCTTATTCTGTCAATGTGCCCTTATGTATGTCGGGCTTCCTATTTACTGAAACTGGCAATACCTACGCTCCCATTAAATCTCCTGGTAAATCTACTGCTGACAAACGCACGCTACACACTAGGCGCACATGGGTCTATGCAGTTCAACTTTTTCTATATCCGACCTACACTGCGTGACCTATCTCATGAAATGTTGGCTGAAATTCTGAAATGCGTTTTCGATTAGGAAGGATAACTTGGTCGCGGTTGTGAAACTGACTATCTTAAGGCATACTGTTATAACATTTTGGACTCGGCAGAATGTCGGCTTTTAAATGGACTTCTTTTCAATATTCTGTAGAAAGCGACTCGGTAAACAATGACTACCTAAGTAGCATGCATTTTTCCCATTGCTTTTCGATGGTCTTGGAAATTCAAATATATTTTATAGAAGCCACGAACAAAAATATGCTTTCTTTTAGTCAATCAATAGAGAATCACGTCTTTTTTATATTTTATACTTAAGGCAGGAGAATAATAAGCCTTTAAAAAAGTTTCCAATTATGAGACTTTTTAAGACCGCGATATGTCCATTCACATAGCATCGTACCTGGCCGTTTACCACTGCTCCCCATGAAATGTACAACATGGTCCGCATCCATTGCAAAATTTTGTGGACCCTGTATGATATCTCTTTAATGATACAGAAAAATATGGGATTTTCTTAACGCGGAACGCATGCATTTTGTAGAGTGTAATCACTAAGCGCTAATGCAACGAATGATCAGGCTCCAAATTTTTCGGCAATTAAAAAACTTTTTTAAAACCTAATTATACTCCTTCCTTAAGTATAAAATATAAAGAAGACGTGATTCTCTATTGATTTACTAAAAGAAAGCATATTTTTGTTTGTGGTTTCTATAAAATATATTTGAATTTCCAAGACCATCGAAAATCAATGGAAAAAATGCATGCTACATAAGAAATCCTTTTTGCCAAGCACTCTTTCTATAGGAGATTGAAAAGAAGTGCATTTAAAAGCCGCCATCCTGCCGAGTCCAACATGTTATAACAGTATGCCTTAAGATAATCAGTATCATAACAGCGATCAAGGAATCCTTCCAAATCGAAAACGCATTTCAGAATTTCAGCCAACATTTCATGAGATAGGTCACGCACTGTAGTTAAGGTAAATAACATATTTAGTTTCTGCATTCAAAGAATTTGAAAAAAATATTTTTAAAATCAACTACCGAAAACCATTTTGCACTACCTTGAGGAGATTCACGAGAGGCGAATTTCATCTGGCCTTCGATGTGTCCTCAAGGGCTGAACAAAACCAATAGAACAACGACAATAAGTGAGTAGGACTCCGCATTTCCACGTCTGTTTGCAGTGGCGATGTGTGTGTCTCATTTCATTTCATCTGGCGCCGTTGTGCAGTTTCATATATCATCCCCGTGGGAACATGCACGACGAATAAACTGCAAGCAGTGTTTTTGAAAAGAGCCCAGATAGCCCTATGCACGTCTTGAGAATTCGTGCAATAATGCATCCAGCAACTCAATAGCTGTAGCTTTTTAATTTCCTTTGAAAATAACTGCGTACTTCGAGTATATCAGCATATTTAAGGTCTTTAGGCTCAGACCTAAGTTTTTATATATGAATGTTTGGGCCGCAGTCCATCAGCCACGGCGAACAACCGCGTAATATTCACCAACTGCCTGTGCTGTTAGTATGGAATCACCATACCCCAGACTAAATAGCTCTACAAAGTTGACTTGGGGTGGCTAAACGGTTACTTTATAAAAATAATTCTAGTTAACATACCTAAATGAGCCACTCGCTGGATTAGGAAGGGGGAGAGAGCGCAAGCAGAGCTCGAAACAAGCGCCGAGAAGCTTGTGTGAATGGGAGGTGGCGTGTACACACTCCCCGCGACACAGCCACTCGCTGGATTAGGAGGATAAGTAGGCCGCAATCACGACTGGAAGGCCACGGAGGGAACCGCGTGCGATTCGCAACGCATAGCTACCATAGTGGAAAGGACGGACTTACATACCATTCGAGCAATGACATTAACAAGCCTTCTTAGCTACTCGCTGCATTGACATAATAAAGAGGACGTAAACAGGGCTCGAAGCACTGCAGGGGAGCACGTGTGAACTGATATCTGATGTAGCCG